AGCCAAGTGTGCCCCGTCTGAAGTTCATATACTCGAATAAATGTATTAGGCTCACTAACTTGTGTACTGTATTTGAGACAAACAAAAATAATAGGCACATATTTACTGAAGACGATGGAGATTTAACAATTTCAGGAAGAGAAAAGGGCAGATCATTTCATTCATTTTAACTTATGTATATTTAGATGCCTTACCTGAAATGATATGAAGTCAGAAGAAAAGGTGAGCAACAATAGACAGCCACCATTCTGATATATACTTGAAATCCACTGATGTTATAAACTTGATCCAATTTCCTCATATGCATTTATAACATTCTTCTTTTAATGAATTAATATTTTTGATATAATCTAGCTGATAAAACCCAAGTTGTATTATGTTCCTGTTGTTACCAATCAGTATTGATGGAAGAGAGATAGAATATCGAGGATGTTTTCTGTTTGTGTTGTACCGCAGCTACTGCTCATCTTGTTTATGGGTTTTCTTCTCCTGAAATAGAAGCAACTTTAGGTTAAAGCAGAGCCAGACTTTTGAAAAATGCTAAAGAGTGAAGTATGAAGTTCAGTAGTTCACACATTCCGGATGACTGGATCACTTGGCAAAATCATAGTGTGCTTTGTTTAAGAGAAGTTTAGAAGTTCACACGTACTTTAAAAATGAATTTTAAAGTCTTCTTTCTGAATTATTGACTAAGATTTGCTTGAATCCATAGAAGAGAAATACAATTGGCCAACTGAGTACGAAACGGAAGACCTACTTATGGACGATAAACATTATATTCACTTTTAAATTGTACACCAATGTTTAAAAAATTGATCAAATTTTTTGACCAACTGGTTAATTAAAGGGTGCTTGAAAACATATGTGGAAATCCTTGGCTATCCTTGGCTAGCTTAGAATACACAACTTCCAGAAAATCAGTTTATCAAATAAGGACTATAATGAACCGATCCTTATATCATAAAGAATATGTAATAAACACAATCATATAGTTGTTTGCTTGGTCTATAAACACAATCATAGTTGTTGGCTTAGAATACATAGCTTTCATATATCCTTCTATCAAATCAGGACTATAATGAATTGATCCTTGTATTCTAAAAATATGTAATAATTGTAATGAAATGCTCTCATATATGTAATCAACTTCATACATAAGTTTGTTTTCTTCTTTAAATATTTTCCAAGCCCATGTCATATTATTGTGCAAAAGAAATACTTTTAAAAAAGAAAGACAACTCACACTTTGTAATTAATAAATTTCAAAGAAGACATACAATCCGAGAAGTTCTTTGTGGAGTTCTACACTTAACACTGCTTAGTTTAGAAACAACTAAGTTCATTTTAGAAACAACTAAGAGCTTGGTTATGAGCTTGGTTTATAGCAACAATTGCAGCAGCTTTTACTTCATTGCATTGATTTATGAGCTTGGTTAGTTCCTGAAATTTCATTAAAAAGGCATGTACCCCCAATTGAAACAACTAAAAAATAGAGGAAGAAAGTCCAAGAGAATCTCATTCCAACAAACTAAAGAATGACCAAGTTTCCCTTTCCAAAACTACTCAAAATTATTTCAAGACTATGAGCGCGAGAAGTCTTACCGATATAATAGCCTTAAATTATTCCCTCAAATATACCCTCATGAAGTTGAGCAACTGGGAGAAAGGTGGACTATCTTTTAATACATGAGAAGCAAAGCTTTGAGAAATGAAAGCCTGTAATTCCAAAGATAATTCTTCTCAACCTGTAATCGCAGTCACTTTAAATGAAATGAAAGCGAATAAAGGTCCCAACTTTGAGAAAATTCTAACAAAAGGTAATATTATGATAACCTAACATCTGAGATCAGAAATGACTCAGAAGTAGTGTAAAGAATCTAAAGTCAAATGAATAAAGTCACGAAGAAGAAGAAAAGAAAAACATTGATCGAATAGCAAAGAATCAGTAAAAAGGGTCATAGAAATTCTCATAAAAAAAATATGAATACTGAATACTGATTTGAAGTGCTTGTTTCTTACATTTTTCACACACTACGTTTGACATGGTATAGTAAAAAGCTACTACTATTTTTAAAGAACCCATCGTGCTTGCATTTAAAACATTTAACGAAATGAATAAAACCCAGCAATGAAATGGTGAAAATATAAATGTAAGGTAGCTCACAGTCATGGAGAAGATGAGGTATTTGTTCCATTACAATGCTCACCTAATGAAAAAGTATTCAAACTTTAAGAATTTGATAAATCAGTAAACAGAATCAACGAAGATTGCATAAGCATTTTATCACATATACCGCAGTATTATTGTGGTTTGCATAAAGTCTTTTGTTCTAACTTCAGTATGATCACATAAATTATACTTTTGTTAGAAATTAGACTTCTGTTAGGGCGAATTGAGTTCACTTCAGAGTATACTACATGCATGATTAAAATTCTGTTTTTTAGATCATATAAGCATTTCATCGAACAATATATATGCAAAATACATAATATTGCCAAAAAGAATGTGAAATTCCTCAATTAAAAAAGGACTGTCTTCAACCATCCAATTGAAGACCGAACGAAATAAAAAACATATTATATATGAAAAGATGAAATACCTTACCTTAAGATTTAATCGGATGAATCTTTTATGCGAATTTGGAAATTGATGAAGCATGATACGAAGCCTGGAGAAATTGCAAAGGGGAGCTATGAACGATCAGCCCGAATGAAGGCGGGCTAACAACCTCTGGAATTAGATGAAGACACCGTTCGTATTATCAATGCTTTCCGTTGTTGGAAGGAGGCGCTGTAGATCGAGTTGGTGAGACAGGTCGGATGGAGAAGAGAGAACATGGAAGGGGGTGAAGGTGAGTGGAAGAAGCGGATGAAGATTGGAAACGCGGTGAAGGGGGAGAAATGGTCGGAGATGAACGTAGATGAAGAAGATTGAAAAGGAGAAGGGGTGGAGATGGAGGCAGATGAAAATGGAAGGAGAAGGAATAGGCGTTGATTGATCTTTAGAACCCAGGAGAGGATGGACTGTGAAAGATTTGTATAATGGACGGTGCAGATGCGTAAAATATTGGGCGGGATTACTGTTCAATGAACAGTAAAAATCACTGTTCAATGAAAAGTAAAAATCACTGTTTTTTTGTTGTGCTTTTACGTATATATAGAAGTGGACAAAAATATGACTAATATCTGGTTGGACAAAAGAGTGATTAAATTTTGAAACGCCCTTCTATCAGTGTTCGGCCCCATTCATTTAGCTTAACCTGTACGCACAGTTCTTCTCTCTCCCAACTATACGTTCTCTTGTTCACCGTCAACCTCATTGCGCCTCCGACCTCTACACCGCCACCCTTAGTTATGCCGCCGACTCTGTCACCATCCTCAACCTTGTTGCCAACCACCATAGTAGTCTTCTGTTGGAAATATGATGAAATAAATAATGGTATAATATATGAAATGGGTGTGGCTTATTATACATTAAAAAAAAACAACTTGCATGTTCGGATCTATTTCATTCAATGACTAGAATCCATAGTTGTGAAAGTTGTAAATGTAATGTATTGGTTTAGTGAATTTATTGTCCAACAATTAAAACAAATGGCGGTTTTATTATTATATGATAAGGAACGATGTTTAAGTATCATATAAGGTGACTTGAAATATTTTTGTATGTGTGCTCATTCACTTGCTCGGACCAAACAGAATAACGGGCCGGTACACAAATATTTTAATTCAGAAAAAAAATAACCATTTAATTTTTGGGACAAAAATTCTGAAATGAGTTTAATAATAAAATGGAGAAGCCTGCGAAATGTTTAATTGCACTAAAGTAATCTTGCTGACTAAGTACAGATATGGACATGTACTTTAAATTTAAAATTTAAAGTGCTTGGCTTGGTCATACTTGGTTAAACTTGATCCGGTCATCATGCATGGATCATGGCGGCTACTTTATAGGAGCAGTTAAGCAATTTTGACCAATTGTTGGTATATGTATACCAGCCTGATTTCCACGTAAAAGTAATCCACCACATGCTCCTATAATTCTCTCACGTACAGAAGCTTTTGAATAATCTTATCTCATTTGTTTTTCCCATTCAATTGAGAAGCCCATAAACTAGTTCTTCTCTCAGCAGCTCTTTTAATTTCTACTCTTCAATTCGAAAGAGTGCTGTTCATTTTCCGAGAGACATAAATTTCCATAGTTTATACTAGTATTTTTATTTCCGGCTCATATCTATTAATTGGCAATCGGGCAACGGTCGAGGTGTTTCTGTCAAGCAAGCTAAAGGACCGGAACAGAGGTAGGATTATCCTGGGAGCGAGTTGGCCAGTCCCGTTCGAGTAGCTATCGAGATACGGGGGCTATCTTTCTTCAAGGCCAGTCCGGTCAACGGACGATCTTACGCTATGTTTTTCATTCTCTACTTTTTACATTATTATTTTATTTCTAACTATTATTATTTCTTTATCTGTTCTTGCATTTGGTGGTTTGTCTGGTGATTTGTGATTAAACTCGGGATTTTATCTGACTAAACTCGCATTATTAATACAATTTTACATCAATCTTGAAGAAAGATATTATTTCTCGAGTTTTGAAAATCCAATATGACGAACTTGGAAAATGCTGCTACTTCCGAAAATGTTGTTGTTGAAAATAATGTGAATGAAATCCCTGAAAATAATGTCAATTCTGTGTCTGTGACTAATTCTGAAGACACACCTGAATTTGTTGCCACGGGCTCTCACAGGGTTGATTTGACTGGAATGCCTGAAAAATTTTCTGGGCATTTTTTCAAGCGTTGGCAACAACGCATGAAAATTTGGTTAATCACCAAGGGATTGCTCTCGGTAATTATGACAGTGTGTCCCCCCGTTGTCGAGTCTGATCCTAAGAGTCTTGAACGCCAATCTTTATGGCGTGAGAGGAATGAAATAGCCAAAGGAATGATATTGTTGGGACTCTCCGACATGTTATTTGATGTCTATTGCACCCTCCACGGCACGGCTAAAGACCTTTGGGATGAGCTGGATAGGAAATATAATACTGATGACCACGGTCTCGAAAAGTATATTGTTTCCAAATTCTTGAGATTCGACATGAAGGAGGGAAAATCTGTTTTAGAACAAACACAAGAATTTGAGCTTATCTTACATTCTCTCCGTGAAGCAGATATGGAATTGCCTGAAAAATTTAAAGTCATGGCTGTAATTGAAAAATTCCCCAAATCGTGGGAAGATTTTGGTTTGACTTTAAAACACAAAATGAAAAAGATAACTTGGAAATCTTTGATGCATTCCATTACTGTTGAGGAAGAACATAAGAAAGCGGGTTACATTGTTCCTGTTGAATTTCAGCCAAAGGCTCATGTTGTAACCGTGGGAAAACAGTCACAAAATTCTAAGAATAAACAACCATCATCTTTTAAACCAATAAAGGCCAAATTAAAAATTGCAAAGAAACCAAAGGCAAACCGTCCATGCTGGAACTGTGGACAGATGGGGCATTGGGCCAAATTATGCCCGAATAAAAAGGCTAAGGCTCAATCTGGTGGACCTCAAGTCAACATGGTGACTGGAGGAACTAGTTCTGATGGGTATGTTTCTTTTAACCCTCAAGTTTTCACTATTTATAATTCCAATGAGTGGCTAATAGATACAGGAGCGAATGTGCATGTATGTGCTGATAAATCGCTCTTTGTTTCTTATCAGCCAGCGGTTGGAAGAACAATGATCATGGGAAACACAAGTGATGCTAGTGTGCATGGAGTTGGAAAAGTGGAAATAAAATTTCCTTCGGGAAAAATTCTATCTTTGCATGGGGTGCATCATGTTCCCGAAATTAGAAGGAACATTGTTAGTGGTTCCATTCTTGTAAGGGAGGGTTATGAATTGTCTTTTAAATTAAATAAAGTTGTAATTTTATTTGGTGGAACATTTATTGGCAAGGGTTACTTGTCAGATGGACTTTTTAAGATTGTGGTTGATTATTATGAATTAAATTATGTATCTGAGAATTGTGATTCTTCAACTTTATGGCATTATCGTTTGGGTCACGTTAATTTAGATTCTGTGAAAAGAATGATGAATTTAAATTTAATTCCTAAACACTCAATTGATAAAACTAAGAAATGTATGGTATGTGCTACTACAAAACAAGTAAGAAAACCTTATCATTCAATTGATAGAAATTCAGAATTACTTGATTTAATTCATACCGACATTTGTGAGTTTAATGGAGTGCTAACTCGTGACAAAAAGAAATACTTTATCACTTTTATTGATGATTATTCTAAATACTGTTATGTGTATCTACTTAAGGGTAAAGATGAAGCTCTTGAAAAATTCTTAATTTTTAAGAATGAAATAGAGAATCAAACTGGCAAGAAAATTAAAAGGTTAAGATCTGATAGGGGAGGAGAATACACCTCTAATTTAGTTGTACTAGAATGCCAAAAATATGGTATAGTACATGAAGAAACACCTCCTTATTCACCGCAATCAAATGGAGTAGCTGAACGGAAAAATAGAACTTTTAAAGATATGATTAACAGTTTATTAGAGAACTCTGGATTACCTAAGCTTATGTGGGGGGAAGCCTTGAATACGGCCTGCCATATTTTGAACAGGATTCCCATGAGACATAAAGATAAGTGTCCATTTGAACTCTTGACAGGCAGAAAACCAAGTTTAAAATATTTTAAAGTGTGGGGCTGTCTTGCAAAAGTATTAGTCCCTGAACACAAAAGAAAGAAACTTGGGCCTAAAACTGTTGATGCTATTTTTATTGGTTATGTTGAACATTCTTATGCATTGAGATTTTTGGTTATTAAATCTGAAATTTCTGGCATAGATGTTAATACTATTATAGAACTTCGTGATGCTATTTTCTTTGAAAATGTTTTTCCAATGAAAACGGGTGTGCCCCAAAATATTTCTTTTAAAAATCAAGAAACCACATTTAATTCAATTCCTGATCAAGTGGAAAAGATGATAAATGTGGGGGTAGAATCTAGTAGTACTAGTCACGCTAGTTTTGAATCAAATGAACTAGATGAGGCCCGAAGGAGCAAACGGGCTAGGATCACTAAGGAATTTGGAAGTGATTTTATCACTTACAATATTGAGGGTGATCCAGTTTCCTTTAGAGATGCAATGGCTACATCTGAAGCCATGCATTGGAAGGATGCCATTAAAAGTGAAATGGACTCTATTGTTCAAAATGGAACATGGGAGCTCGTTGATCTTCCTCCGGGGTGCACTACTATTGGATGTAAATGGATTTTTAAGAAGAAATTAAAACCGGATGGAACCATTGATAAATATAAGGCCAGATTAGTTGCTAAGGGTTACAAACAAAAAGAAGGTATTGATTTTTTCGATACATATGCTCCGGTCGCAAGGATGACCACAATAAGAATGCTTATAGCATTGGCCTCCGTATATGATCTTAAAATTCATCAAATGGATGTTAAGACAGCTTTTCTTCATGGTGACCTTGAAGAAGAAATTTATATGGATCAGCCTGAGGGATTTGTGGCAAAAGGCAATGAGAAAAAAGTTTGTAAATTAGTTAAGTCTTTATATGGACTTAAGCAAGCCCCTAAGCAATGGAACGAAAAATTTGATAAAATAATTTCTTCGTTTGGATTTACTCTTATAGATGCTGATCAAAGTGTTTATTATAAATGTAAAGGTGATATTAGTATTATCTTATGCCTATATGTTGATGATATATTATTATTTGGCACTAATGATAATATTATTTTTGAGACTAAGTCATTTTTGAAAACAAAGTTTGAAATGAAGGATATGGGGGTGGCTGAAGTAATTCTTGGGCTAAAGTTGACTAGATCAACTGAAGGCATTTCTATTTCTCAGTCGCATTATACTGAAAAAGTAATTGAGAAATTTGGATTTAAAAACAGTAGAATTGCTAAAACACCCTATGATCCTTCAGTAGCTTTGTATAAAAATGAAAGTGGTATTCCTGTGTCTCAATTAAGATATTCTCAGATGATTGGTAGCTTGGGTTACTTAGCTAACTGTACTAGACCCGATATTGCATTTTCGGTGTCTAAGTTGAGCCGGTACACTTGTTGTCCAAACAGAACTCATTGGGAGGCCTTAGATAGAGTATTCAGATACTTAAAAGGAACAATTTCCTTGTGTTTGCATTATGGTAAATATCCTCCTGTTCTTGAGGGATATAGTGATGCAAGCTGGATAGCTAAGAATTCCGGGAGTTATGGATGTACCGGCTATGTGTTTACGTTTGGTGGTGGGGCTGTTGCCTGGAAGTCCACTAAACAAACGATACTTTCTCGGTCCACTTTTGAGGCTGAATTATGTGCATTGGACATTACAGGAATTACGACTGAATGGTTTATGGGACTAATGTCTGAGTTACCTATATTCAGCAAGCCAATTCCACCTATTTGTTTGCATTGTGATAGTATGAGCACAATTGCAAAAATTAGGAGTACCAAATATAATCAAAAGACTAGGAGACACATTCAAGTTAGATTAAAAACTATAAGGAAATTTGTGTCTCAAGGGGTGTTTGCTGTTGATTTTGTCGGATCCAAAGATAATACAGCAGACCCTTTAACAAAAGGACTTGATTTAAATCAAGTGATAAAATCCAGGTTAGGAATGGGACTGAAACCCAATAATTATTCAATTACGGTAGCAACCCAACCTATCTAAGTGGAGATCCCATAAAGTAGGTTCAATGTGGTATAAACAAACCGTGGTGTGAATTGTGCATCTCATAAAAATATTTTATGAGTTCTATTCCTTGATAAACCTGAGAGATGCTGGAATTGCTAAGTAAGTAAGAGTTTAAGACTCTGAATGGGATCGAGCTTTAAAGCAGAGTGTTAGCAATGCACTCTTGGAGATGCCCAACTATGAGAATGTTATTGTGTGGCCGCAATTAGAGAATAGGGGTTAATTCTCGATGACATTTTTGAGACAGGATCGGGACGCACGGCCGTAAAGCGTCAACCCTATAGATCGTTGCCATTGCCTTTAGTGTGTTGCCTTTATTCTACACCACCACAACCAAGGTTCGAGTTCAAGAACTATGTTCACTCAGTTCCTGTGGGGGTTAGGGGTAAAAGCTTAGAAGTTGGTTCAAACCGGAAGGTACCATATTCGAAAGCACATTATGTCTTTTAGAGTTGAGCCAACAACTATGGATTTGTGGGGGATTGTTGGAAATATGATGAAATAAATAATGGTATAATATATGAAATGGGTGTGGCTTATTATACATTAAAAAAAAACAACTTGCATGTTCGGATCTATTTCATTCAATGACTAGAATCCATAGTTGTGAAAGTTGTAAATGTAATGTATTGGTTTAGTGAATTTATTGTCCAACAATTAAAACAAATGGCGGTTTTATTATTATATGATAAGGAACGATGTTTAAGTATCATATAAGGTGACTTGAAATATTTTTGTATGTGTGCTCATTCACTTGCTCGGACCAAACAGAATAACGGGCCGGTACACAAATATTTTAATTCAGAAAAAAAAACCATTTAATTTTTGGGACAAAAATTCTGAAATGAGTTTAATAATAAAATGGAGAAGCCTGCGAAATGTTTAATTGCACTAAAGTAATCTTGCTGACTAAGTACAGATATGGACGTGTACTTTAAATTTAAAATTTAAAGTGCTTGGCTTGGTCATACTTGGTTAAACTTGATCCGGTCATCATGCATGGATCATGGCGGCTACTTTATAGGAGCAGTTAAGCAATTTTGACCAATTGTTGGTATATGTATACCAGCCTGATTTCCACGTAAAAGTAATCCACCACATGCTCCTATAATTCTCTCACGTACAGAAGCTTTTGAATAATCTTATCTCATTTGTTTTTCCCATTCAATTGAGAAGCCCATAAACTAGTTCTTCTCTCAGCAGCTCTTTTAATTTCTACTCTTCAATTCGAAAGAGTGCTGTTCATTTTCCGAGAGACATAAATTTCCATAGTTTATACTAGTATTTTTATTTCCGGCTCATATCTATTAATTGGCAATCGGGCAACGGTCGAGGTGTTTCTGTCAAGCAAGCTAAAGGACCGGAACAGAGGTAGGATTATCCTGGGAGCGAGTTGGCCAGTCCCGTTCGAGTAGCTATCGAGATACGGGGGCTATCTTTCTTCAAGGCCAGTCCGGTCAACGGACGATCTTACGCTAAGTTTTTCATTCTCTACTTTTTACATTATTATTTTATTTCTAACTATTATTATTTCTTTATCTGTTCTTGCATTTGGTGGTTTGTCTGGTGATTTGTGATTAAACTCGGGATTTTATCTGACTAAACTCGCATTATTAATACAATTTTACATCATCTTCCTTACCCCAG